ATTTCTACTATACTACTGATAATATTGCAGAGAGGAGACGTTAGCCTTTATTTTCTAACATAGGCACGTTTAACGTGCACGAGCTATTTTGAATGCTTCAGTGTAAACGTATCAACAATCTACTGTTTTAATCCTAAATTTAGACTATTTTTTGTGCGAAATTTGGTATTGTACATTAAAGAAAACGCGAAACGCTGGGCACAGCTGAGTCGATCATCATCCTACAGACTCACTTAGTCTTTCCTTCGATCATCTGGTGCAAAAAAACAAATTGTTAAAGTACTATTTACATCAACTTACCAAACGTTTCTTAGAGGGAAGACTCTAAAGTTTCAAGGTTTCTTCATGGTGTCTTAAGATAATGAAGCTCGTCGAATACCGTATAGCTAAGAAATGTCACGTTTTTCATCATTGTTGTAGTTGGTTGCATCATCAGTATTCACGAGGTTGTCACGTGCGATTCTATACTTTAAAAGAAACAGTCTTTAACTTTGACGACTTGATTCTACAAGTGTTATAAGTTTTTGTTTCTTAAATGAAAAGAGCCTTTACTTAAGGCACTAGTTACAAAGCTAAAGAGGTCTTCATACTTTCAAGTTACTTTTATTACTATTACTACAGTTTGCACGTGGAAGTGTTGTACTTTGCCCCTTTCGTGGTTCGTACGTGAGAGAATTCGAGTTATCACACAGTAATCCAGTAAGGAGGATTATAAAAATACCTCATGCACACAATTTGCACGTGAAGATGTTGCACTTTGTCCCTTTTACAACTCGTGCGTGAAAAAACGCAAATTGCTTACTGGAAAATTTGCTCAAACGATTTTAAGAAATTACCTTGGCTTTACAACATCTGCAATTAAATCATGCTTCATGCAACGTTAAGGTCGATAGCCTAACATTTATTTACTTTCCATAACATTATCAAACTGCCGAAATATATTTCTACTAATATCATGTTATTCCACTTAATAAAACAATATCTAATTATTTTGTCAACTAGCTTCTTCAAATTTTTATTCCCTAACGCTATTGTTTCTACTTAAGTTACGCATCTTTACTGAATAAAATACGTTTCAATAACTATAATGACTCTTAAGCAGCAAGCATGTATCATGTTGTTCACTTAATTCATGTTTTTTGCTGGAACGAAAAAGGTCTATTGAACTTTGTAAGCGAGAGAATAAAGCTTTTTTACAGGATTAACTTACTCGGTACAGCTTTCAAACAAAAAAATAAACTGCCTTTTAAACTTCTAAAACCACAATTTATAGGCCGCACACATGTACTTCCGAATTTAAGTCCATATCTAAATATCAGTTATTGTTTCATTAAAAGAACTCTGAGAAATATATGATCTTTTATACTCTGCCTTGAAGCAGGTGAAACAGAACTCATAAATTATGAAATACGTGCGCTGTACCGTTCGCGATAGCCGAATTGGGTCAGAAATGTCTTGAAGCAGCACCCACACGAAAATACTGGAACCGTTAAACAGCTGCATCACTATACTGAGTGTTTTAATCATGAAGATATTTAAATGTTATGCTTCTAAACACCTTTAGCCGTAATACCTTCATGTTTAAGTGCCAAAATCTCATTGGTACCTAGCATCAACTCATAGTACCTTCAACCTTATTGGTCCCTGCCACAGACATCCGAACACACAAAGCCACAAAGCCAGAAAGATACATACGCTCAGATCCTGACATATGAGCTATTTTTTCAAAAAAGTTCAATAATGGTATGTGTATGTGTAGTTGACCATTATCACATAACAGTAGAGATTCACCAGATGGCGCAAACTCATTACAAGGTAAATAAAATACACTAAGTGGAAATTCGAAGGTTAACGACAGACGCCTGCATACACATGACAAGGATCCATCACCCTCCTCTGACACACCACTTAACCTCTTGGGCTTCACTTTCACTCGGATGATTCCATCATCTGATCGCACAAGAGGATATTCGATTCACCTTACCCAAAACATTGGCATCATCTCGAATACATCCTCACAAGGAGAGCTATCCTATCGTGCATCACGCTTACACGTACCTTCATGACAGCTCAGAAGGTGACACTGACTATTCCCTGGTGTAGAGCAAAGTGAAACTACAGGCAAAGAGAATCTACCACACTAAGACTGTGTGCAAACCATGCCTTGACGTCAGCAAGACTCGCATGCAGGGAAAGTGGAGGAGTTCATAACTACGCTTGAGAAATCTCTCCCCTAGTCTCTGTATTGGAAAAGACCAAGACAGATTGGATTACTTCAGGTATTGCAGTCCATGGATCAGCCATGCCCAACTTCGGCAAGAAGAAAAACAAATCTTCAGACTGTTCGAGGGGCATATAGAGACAATAACTCCAGAAATAGAAGAAAAGAGAAAAGCGTTAATTAGATAAAAGACCTGCCTAAGTGAACAAAATCTACAGGTTCTATAGGCAGCACGTAGTAATGTGCAACGATGTAACAGACGCTGTGCTAATGAACACTGGCCTGAACTCTTTGCTAGTATTCATTCTGCTGTTGAGATATATTATTAAGGCCATATGTACGATGAAATCAAGCAGGCACTTGGTCGTTCTCAGAATAAAAACAGCCCCCTTAAATTTTGCTACGGGCGAGATAATCCAGGACCGAGCTCAACAAATGAAGCGCTGGGTAGAACATTACCCTGAGCTGTCTGCCACGGAGAGAATATGGTGTCTTTGGAAGCACTGAACGCCACAGAGTGCTTAATAAGTCATGTATAAAAAGTCTACTAAAGTGGAGCTGAAAGAGGCCCTGGAGTACCTGCACCTGGAAAAGCGCGCGGCCATGCCTGTGCTAGGGGGAAAAAAGGTACCACAATGATGAGAGACGCAAACATAGTCACTCTATACAAAAACAGGCCGGCCAGGAGAGACTGCACTAACAATTATCAAGGCATCGAATTCCCCAGTATCGCTGTAAAGCTCTTTGCTCGAGTAGTTGTGAAGGGTCTCCAGGTGCTTGCAGAGATATTTTACCCTGAGTCATGGTGTGGTTTCCCTGCTAAACGATCAATACTATTAGGTCTGATAGCTTGTCCAGCCCGGCGATCAGTTTGGTCAGTTTGGTCAAGGCTTCGCCGCAATGGCCACAAACGATACCTTCACTTAACTTGAGTTGTGTGCGTGTGTGTGTGCGTGCGTGCGTGTTTGTGTTTCAATGAATAACAAAACTACAAAAGAATAAAGTCAATCTTGTTAAAGGGCCATGATTAGTTTTACTATAATGTGCCCTTCTCCATTCTAGTTTTCCTCTTTTATTACTATTATTATTATGAACACGTAGTTTAACCAACCTTGTACCAATTGATATTGTACAACTAATGTATTATCTATAGGATGGAGTAAAAATAATATACAAAATATATTTAAATCATCTTTTGGGGGGCACTTTCTGGCTGACTTAGTATTTTTCCTTTTTCGGCCAAAGCAGAGCCATTTAAGCTTACATAATCATATCACTTCAATTATGCAACTTGTTCAAAAGGAGGATATCGCTATCAACTGCGTAAATCTCTATCTACGAGGATAATAAGATTGCTTTACTCCGCTGGATAGTGATTTATCCGTTAGATAGCAACAACTGGGGTATGGTGTAATTACATTTCCCCTTTAACAAGCGATTTTGTAAAATTTACACAAGAACAATTTCGTCTCTGTGCGTAACAGTTACTTCACTTGAATCTTTCAGGCGGCCTAAAGATATGTACTAAGAACTGAATTAGAGTTTTCTAAATCTGAAGACTGGACTAGCCAGTCGTTAGCAACTCGTGATGCAATTAGATCTTTCTGCAGTTTTTAAAATCCCCAATCACAAACTCTGTCCGAGGATCCTCAAGCGACGATAAAATGTGACCTTCATGCAAGATATAACTTACAATAAGGCAAGTGATTCCGGAAGTGCTTAGCTCCTCGTGCGTTCAAAACAATTTATGGACTTAAAATCCTTGACGCTCCATTTTGTTGTCGTTTTCTTTAGCTTTACTCCCTACTTTCGAGTTCAAAACTTCCTCTTTTCAAACCAAATCATCTATAGAAAGTTCCTTCTTTCTTAGACTTAAATGTAATATATTCCTGTACATAATTATTTGCATTCTACTGATAGTTTTTCTTTATAGTCTTAAATCATTATTACATGCATGCAATCCTTATTAATCACTGAAGAACCCAGATGGATATGTATTCAATAAAATGTATGTATGTATATATGAAATATTATTATTATTATTATTTTATTCGCCCAATATTGTAAAAAATAATATTGTACATTTGGTATTTGTAGCTATACATGAGCAGGAGATCTCAGCAAGCTCTGCTGAGCCTTTCAGAGGAGATTCCCAACTTTACTTATCAATTAAATTACTAAACATATTGTTTGCCACTTAATATTACAATTATATAAACTCTATCGAATTTTAATGAAATGATGCAAGCTCATATCAATTTTAGGAATTTTAATGTATGTCACATGCCTTTCAACATTTTAGACGTTCTTTTAATTCTTCCAAAATAGATGTTCCTAACTTAAAATTCTATAAGAGAAACCACGTTTGCCAAAAATGTAAAGAAACCTAAAAACTAAAAGATTTCTTGTAAATACAAGACTGCAGATATACGTTGTATAGACTTAAATTTCAAAAAACAGAACTCATGATCATTTACTTCAACAAGTTAACTGCTTTTAAATGTATGTAGCTTTATTTTGACGATCCGGCTAACCGAAATCTTTCGTAACTGTGTATTCCCGGGTAAGTCCGTTTAACCGAAACAGAATGTTTCGTGGAATCACAGCTACGATAGCATCAGCTTAATTTACACTTTTATATGACACCTGACCGGGACCACAGAGTCGTTACGTATAAGTTAATGTTTTCGTAGCTATTTCTTGAGCCAAAAGCTTATTATTATAACCGTTTCTAACTGGCTTCCTTACTTTTTGATTTAAGATTAACCCTATTTCCGCAGAAATATTTGCTAATTATTCTGGTCTTGTCTTTTTACCTGTTTATGTTTCAAAACAGACCCATATGGTCAAGGTTCAAGAAGCTATTCACCATGGCATGATTGCCGCAGATTTTCTTTCAAACACTAAACGAGTTGTCCAGGCTATCGAGCTGTGGAGCGAGTGCTTAATACTACTAAACAACAAAACCTTAGAAAACGAACATGAACTTGCCACAATAGTGAGTATAGCGCTGTATAAGAAGCTGTTTTATGGAAATGCTGCTATTACGAAACTTTCACCAGCTATAGAATCTGGCAAAAAGCTTTTAGTCCTACTTCGTAATCGTAAGAGAAAAAAAGAAGAAGGTATCACAGCCTTGATGTTATCAGGACTGTACCTCCAAAAACATGAATACCAGGAAGCACAAGCAATCCTCAAAATTGCACTCTGCGTTTACAAAGAAATCGAAGACAAACACGGAGAAGCGTGGTGCTACCTATTCCTAGGAGCTTTGTTCGAATCTGTCGGAGAGTATGCCAAGGCTGAAGAATATCTTCATAAAGCACTTACCATCAACACAGAAATTGGCAATAAACACGGAGTAGCGTTATGCTACACAAACCTAGGAGCTTTGTTTGCATCTGTCAGAAAATATACCAAGGCTGAAGAATATTTTCATAAAGCATTTACCATCAACACAGAAATTGGCGACAAACACGGAGTAGCGTTATGCTACATAAACCTAGGAGCTGTGTTTCAGTCTGTCGGAGAATATGCCAAGGCTGAAGAATATCTTCATAAAGCACTTACCATCAACACAGAAATTGGCGACAAACACGGAGAAGCGTCATGCTACGGAAAACTAGGATATGTGTTTGAATCTGTCGGAGAATATGCCAAGGCTGAAGAATATCTTCATAAAGCACTTACCATCAACACAGAAATTGGCGACAAACACGGAGTAGTGTCATGCTACATGTACCTAGAAAGTGTGTTTCAATCTGTCGGAGAACATGCCAAGGCTGAAGAATATCTTCATAAAGCACTTTCCATCAGCACAGAAATTGGCGACAGACCAGGAGAAGCGATATGCTTCACAAGCCTAGGAGCTATGTTTATGTATGTTGGAGAATATGCCAAGGCTGAAGAATATCTTCATAAAGGACTTACCATAGTGACCGAAATCGGTGTCAAAGACGGAGAAGCGACATGCTACATAATACTAGGAACTCTGAAATTTAAGGCTGGTGAATGTGAGAAGGCTCAAAAATATTTTGAGAATGCTCTTGAAATTACCAGGGCGACTGGAAACATCGATTTCCAATTTAAAACGTCCCTTTTTCTAAATGATTGTTCTTTTAAAATAACAGGAAACAAATCTGAAGCCTTATCCAATCTTTGGACAAGCATTCAAATTTGCGAAAAAATGCTTAGTTCTCTAGGAAGCAAAGATTGCCACAATATATCATTTTTTGACGAACGCGCGACTCCCTATCGGCTGTTTTGTTCATTGAGTTGTTCTAGTGGAAAACCCTATGAAGCTTTACACGTTGCTGAACTTGGACGGGCCAGAGCTCTAGCAGAACTTATGTCGAATCGCTACTCCATTGAAAAAGAATTATCCATCAACCCACAATCGTTTGTTGGCATCGNTCAACACAGAAATTGGCGACAAACACGGAGTAGTGTCATGCTACATGTACCTAGAAAGTGTGTTTCAATCTGTCGGAGAACATGCCAAGGCTGAAGAATATCTTCATAAAGCACTTTCCATCAGCACAGAAATTGGCGACAGACCAGGAGAAGCGATATGCTTCACAAGCCTAGGAGCTATGTTTATGTATGTTGGAGAATATGCCAAGGCTGAAGAATATCTTCATAAAGGACTTACCATAGTGACCGAAATCGGTGTCAAAGACGGAGAAGCGACATGCTACATAATACTAGGAACTCTGAAATTTAAGGCTGGTGAATGTGAGAAGGCTCAAAAATATTTTGAGAATGCTCTTGAAATTACCAGGGCGACTGGAAACATCGATTTCCAATTTAAAACGTCCCTTTTTCTAAATGATTGTTCTTTTAAAATAACAGGAAACAAATCTGAAGCCTTATCCAATCTTTGGACAAGCATTCAAATTTGCGAAAAAATGCTTAGTTCTCTAGGAAGCAAAGATTGCCACAATATATCATTTTTTGACGAACGCGCGACTCCCTATCGGCTGTTTTGTTCATTGAGTTGTTCTAGTGGAAAACCCTATGAAGCTTTACACGTTGCTGAACTTGGACGGGCCAGAGCTCTAGCAGAACTTATGTCGAATCGCTACTCCATTGAAAAAGAATTATCCATCAACCCACAATCGTTTGTTGGCATCGAAGAAGTAATTAAGAAAAATGACAAGAGCACCTGCCTCTACATCTCCTATGACTACGGTGACAATATATTTTTGTGGGTTTTGAAACAAAGCAAATCGGTAGCTTTCCGAAGCAAGGAAGTTTGTGAAAGCTATGTTAGCAAGCACGGCAAAATCTCTGTGTATGACCTGTTTGGAAAAAAAAGCTTCTTAAGAAAGTTTCACGTTTTACCTCAAGAGCAATGCGAAGACCGATCACTCTTCTCTTCATTCACCAACCAGCGTCCTCTTTTAGATGAGGAAGAAGTATACACAGGCCCTGATCCGCCAACACTTTCTCAGGTTTACAACATGTTGATTGCTCCCGTACGTGACTTGCTAGAAGGATCTGAAATTATTGTTGTTCCTGATAACTGTTTCTTCCAAGTTCCTTTTGCAGCATTACCTGATGAAAGTAACCGCTGTTTATCAGATTCTTTCAGGATACGCATTGTCCCTTCTTTAACGACTCTCAAGCTCATTCTGGACAGTCCACCGGACTCTCACAGCCAAACTGGTGCATTGATTGTGGGTGAGCCAAATGTGATGAATGTGTATTTCAAGGGAGAGTCAAGGTATCTCTGTCCATTACCTGGCGCAAAAGCAGAAGCAGAGATGATTGCAAGACTACTACCTCAATCTCACCTTTTAATAGGAGAGCAAGCAACAAAGCAGGCAGTCCTTCAGAGAATACCCTCAGTGAGTCTCGTACATATCGCTGCTCATGGTGATGCCGAAAGAGGAGAAATTGCTCTTACCCCCCCTGACTCCGCAATGCGTCCTCCGCATGAAGCAGACTACTTACTGTCAATGACTGACATTTCACAAGTTAGACTCTCAGCCAAACTGGTGGTCCTTAGCTGTTGCCATACCGCACGTGGACAGATCAAAACAGAGGGCGTTGTTGGAATCGCTCGAGCATTCTTAGGATCGGGTGCACGCTCAGTGTTGGTGGCATTGTGGGCCTTACAAGACGACGCAACAGAGCAGTTAATGAGAAGATTCTACGAAAACCTTGTCCAAGGAGAAAGTGCAAGTGAATGTCTTCACCGGGCCATGAAGTGGATGCGAAATAACGGTTTCCCTGAAGTGAGGCAGTGGGCACCTTTCATGCTGATTGGGGATGACGTGTCATTTCACTTTGGTGAAGAAAAGTGAAGGTAATTTTTTTGTGACAATTAAGGCCATAGGAAGTCTGCCAGGTCTTTTTATATTGCAGTTTTATCAACTTGGGTGCATTTGGTACTTTTACTAGTACCAAATAGAAAGCAGTATTTACCTTAAAAAACCACATTATTGACTACACCTGAAGTCAGCTTTTACTATACTTACTATGACTGAGGTAAAATATCAATTAACCGCTTTTTAACATCGAGGATACTAAACACCTCAATTATTCGACCACACTTCTGTCGTTATCAGTCTAAATTACAACCCATGCATATGTGGGGCTTTGTATTTGAAAAAAAAAAACGCTAAAGCGCCGTATCCCTACCGTAAAAAGAATGATATTAACTCTTTTCTCTTTTTTCTGATATATGAGGCACAAATAATTGAATATTCTTTTATTTGCTACCACTCAATATGAACGTGAGGGTTTGCTGACAAAATGTTTTCTTTCTGAATATAATGGGAAGAGAATTTCAGATATGAAACGAAACTGACAAACAGCCCAAGACAGTTTTTTTTATATATAAAGATAATCGGATTAAAACTGTTATGGCGGAGATCTAGATCTGAGAATTGATCAAAAACACTGAAAACTACAAATTGTGGACTGTGTATGGAGTCTTGACCGTAACTAGAGGGCTATTCGCGAACACTGACTGAATTACAGTAGTACACTGGTTCTAAACTCGCGCCAAAGAGGGAAAACCGAGATTCCATAGCTCATCAAGGCAAGAAGTTTCAAACCTATTTTAGCTGTGCACCCTGCATTTCATTTATGATGCCAATAATTGGAAAGTTTTAGCAGTGAGATAAACTTAAATAAGTAAACCTCTTCCGTCACGATAATTAAAGCCGGAGGATCCCTCTTCCGGGTAAAATGAACCTAAATGCTACTTACCCCAGCTTGAGTCTTTTGTAATGAATATGTGTGCTTTACTGATTTTTGTCTCTTATACATTACTGTTGCAGGTATTACACTAACGACACACCATGGAATAACGAAACAGCCCTTCCGCAGAATTCCAATGAGGTAGTCCCTGGCGGAAAATGTGAAGAGTCAATCTCTGCGGGATACGAACATTAATTAAAAGAATTAAAAGAGAACTGACTTGCTTGGCCCAGCGGTTCATCTTTGCCGGCTTAATTATTTTTCCCACTGATTTTATTTTATGTATGTGTGTGTAGGTACCTTGAGTACTCTAATTCTCTAAAATGTCTTGCAAAAGCACAAATCACCTGCCTTGTAAAAGTGTACATCGGTAGCTCGGACAATGATAAAACTGTAATTGCGACACGAAGAACATCAGGATTAGCTAATTTCCCTGTCTTTTTTGGGTAATTTGTTTAAAAAAAACTTACTTCCTTAATTAGTTCCTAAGGCTACAACTAAAAAATACTTTTCATGTATAAACTGGCGAGATTTTTGATCGCAAATTGAAGTTTGATTACAATGCAAACAACATTGCAAGGTTTATAGTTTAGTAGAATTGTATATATTTTAGAGCCAATCTTTTTGTGAACATAGAAGCAGTAGTTTTGCAACCTTGCATTATGAAATAAGGTTTGACGACTCAATTAATTCAAATAAAAGCCTAGCGAAACCAATTTGTCCTAACTCCAAACTAGCCCAGTTGTAAACTAAAGGTTATTTCATTGTATATTGTTCATGCCTGAGCATAAGTTACTATGTTAGTATAGAAGAATAGTACTTGCTTTGAATATCCACCTAAAATGCAAAGATTTGGTGGTCCAGTTTTCAGTAGTGCTTTGAGCAAGAAAACTAATTTTAGTAGTTCGAACAACATGTCGCGTATCCGAGAAGGTCGCACATGGAAGTTTCATTGTAATCTGTATATAAAATGCCAAGATTTGGTGGTCCAGTTTTCAGTGGTGCTTTGAGTAGGAAAACTAATTTTAGTGGTTCGAACAGCATGTCGCGTATCCGAGAAGGTCGCACATGGAGGTTTGATTGTAATCTGTAAATATGTAATCTCACCAGGTTTTTAAAAATAAAGCGTATTTGACGTAGCAAATTCAACGACAAAACTTTATTGAGCCTTTCGTTATTAAGACCTCTAGTGTTTATCCTTAATTATCTATTTGCTCTTTAACAAAAAATATTCTCGGTAATATCAGGGAGATTTAAAATCACAATCCCCGTCAAACGGCAACGTCAATTTTACGTGACCAAGGTATCAGTCGAAAAAATAAATAAATAAAATTGTAATTTGTAGTTTGTTTTCCCACGGAGCACTTAGAAATTGTTAAGAACTCGCTTAAACGTGTCCGTGCGCTTGCGGATCGAATTGGAATTTGGCAAGGTTGGTTTTTGGAGAGAGGGGAAAACCGGAACACCCAGAGAAAAACCTCTCGGCAAGGAAGAGAACCAACAACAAACCTACCCTTTCATATACCTGAAGCATGAAAAAGGTACCCTTTTCGGTCGGAGCCTCCCCATAAAGGCCANGTGCTTTGAGTAGGAAAACTAATTTTAGTGGTTCGAACAGCATGTCGCGTATCCGAGAAGGTCGCACATGGAGGTTTGATTGTAATCTGTAAATATGTAATCTCACCAGGTTTTTAAAAATAAAGCGTATTTGACGTAGCAAATTCAACGACAAAACTTTATTGAGCCTTTCGTTATTAAGACCTCTAGTGTTTATCCTTAATTATCTATTTGCTCTTTAACAAAAAATATTCTCGGTAATATCAGGGAGATTTAAAATCACAATCCCCGTCAAACGGCAACGTCAATTTTACGTGACCAAGGTATCAGTCGAAAAAATAAATAAATAAAATTGTAATTTGTAGTTTGTTTTCCCACGGAGCACTTAGAAATTGTTAAGAACTCGCTTAAACGTGTCCGTGCGCTTGCGGATCGAATTGGAATTTGGCAAGGTTGGTTTTTGGAGAGAGGGGAAAACCGGAACACCCAGAGAAAAACCTCTCGGCAAGGAAGAGAACCAACAACAAACCTACCCTTTCATATACCTGAAGCATGAAAAAGGTACCCTTTTCGGTCGGAGCCTCCCCATAAAGGCCATTATAGGGAGTACCTCCCCCGCCGGGGAAAGGAGGCAAGTGCCCTCACCACTGCGGCACCCTAGCGCAGTTTTCGTCGGAAGTCGATTCAGTTGTTGTTTCTACAAAAAAAGGTTAGTAGTTTCATGACGATCAGTTCAATCCATAACAATTATTTTGCAAAGTTTGTGCTCGTTAATTTCCTGATTAAAGGAAATGTCACTTTGGGTCTAATGTTTGCCATTTGCCGTATACGCGACTCTTAATCCCTCGATTTTGCTCTCAACGACTACTACAATCCATAAATTTGGGCTCATAAGAGTTACTGCCACGATCACTTCCGTCGATTCGGAATCGAAGAATTACGTTGACGGCAAAGTCGAAACATCAGGTTTAAGTATTACAGTTACTCAAGTTAGGAAATCAACAGATAAAAACTGAAAAAGATTATCCTTACGGGATAGACGTGGCATGAATATCTTTATTTTTAAGTAGTAAAGATAAACATTGAACGATAAATAAAGAGAAAGCTTAGCAACATGTTTCAAAATGGTGTTAACCGTAAACGTGATTCTAAATCTCTAGACGCCTGCGTTTGCATCGAAGTTCTCCAAGGAACCAATTTGACAGGCCTGGTAACAATTCTTTTCGGGCCGTACGTTTCACCGTCCCTGCTTTACTTCCTATAAAATCCCTAGCTGATCCTTTTTTCACTACCGTTAATGCTTGGCACAGGCACCAGGAAATAAATTCAAGACTTTTTCCAGACTTTTTTCCGAAGCAATAATTTCTTTTTCCAGACTCAAGGTTATCAAATAGGTCAGTGATCAATAGACACCTTAAAAAACGCAGGAACAAAGTTTTTTTCATGATACATGTAGGCTGAAAACATACGGGCGAAAAGAATAAGATTTGAGCGAAACGAAAAAAATTCAGTTATAAAACACTATTTGTTGTAGCTTTAAAAAAACTCAAGATTTTTTTAAATTTTTTTTAGACTTTATCTCCATTTTTCAGACGTTTATCAGGTCTAGAAAATTGCTGAAAATTGCTGCTCAGTACGAACCCTGAGTTTTTACAAGGTATTTCACTCCATAACTTGCCAGTGTACACCCCCGTAGTGAGAGCTACTTCGGGTCCCACCAGGGATGGATTTTGATTTCGTCATTATCCAGATCTTGGAAGTACTTCTGATTGGTGAAAGTAAATTTTTAACCAATCAGAAGTGCTACCCAGATCTGGGTAGTGACGCGTCATCGGTATGGAATTTCTGCGCTCGTTTCTCAGACGTCACTTGGTGAGGAAACCAGTGGTGACGTCGCGAAATGTCGGTAGTTTGTTTCTCAGGCTAAGCTGAGGGTCTCAATGGGGTTAACCGATAGGCGTAAAACGGCCAAAAATTTAGTCGATAGCCGTAAAAAATTGAAAAATTTTAACCGTTAGCCGTGAATAGGGTAAAAATGAGTTAACCTTAAAAGAAATTGTTACCTACAAAGATTTGCTACTTTTAAGGAGGGGGCTAAACTCACTTATGGTTGCGTTTTTTATTTCCCGACTGGTGTGACTCCGTACGCACTTTAGGCGAAGCGCCTTTTAGATGTTAACCAAGACTTTCTCCTTTTCCGACGCTCTCTCGGGGAACTAATTTTTTCTATAGCGAAAGTGTGGCTTCTTGCTGGGGATTAATATTTGCAATTTTCTGGAGGTCGTGCCCTCGAAACACTAGTGAAACAACACGCAGAGACGTCACTGTTTGTAAAACACGTTGACGATAAACAACATTTCCTTGTTTTTCTCTGACGCTACGGTAGACATTATGCTTAGTCCCTGTACGGCGTCTTCCCACGCAATCTCGGTCAAGGCATTTCGATGGAGAACTCGCTCGGACCACGTGACCCCTAAATGCATTAGCCGCGCGGAATAATGCGGCCTACAGACAAGGCAAGGGCAGACAGTTGTTCCTACAG